GGTGGCTTCCAGCACCAGCTCCGCCCCATAGAACAGCCGCACGTGCAGCCAGCAATCTGCGGGGAGGGGCCAGGAGGCGCGCCAGGTGAGGGTGGCGCCGGCTCCCACCTACCCCCCTGTCACCCCTCAACAGGGCGGGGCCCTGGGGCGCTCCCACCCTCCACCTCAGGAAGTTTGGGCGGTCCCTCTGAGAAGTGATAGCAATCATTGTAGCAGTGGCGGTGGTGGCAAACAATCGCAGCTTCCAGTATAAACGAAATGGTGGCTGAGCTACAGAAGCAGTCCGGGACTCTCGGTACAGTGGGGGCATCTATCACACTGAGGCCCTCCAGCCCCAACGCGGGGATTTTAGGAGCTTCTTCCCAGCAAGTACATGAATGCCGGTGGAATTAACCACAAAGCAGCAGCCGCCCCTGTGAGGAGCCAGCAGTGGCTCAGTGGTTAGGGCTGTGGGCTCTGCAGCCAGGCCCTGGGCTTCCAATCTCTCACTGGCACTTAGGAGCTGTTAGGAACGTTCCCAGGCCACCAGGTGTGTGACCCTGGGCGAGGTCCTTAACCTCTGGCTTCTCTCTCTCAGGACTGTGGGGAGAGCTTAGAAGCATGCCTGGAAGAGACGAAGCCCTCAGCAAAAGCTGGCTGTCGTCAGTGGGAGTCTGGGCTGGGTGCTTTGGGTGGGAGACAGAGGCAAACTGGCCCCAGCCCGACCTGCACAGCGGTCAGAAGGGAGAGCCTTTCGATTCCTTACCGGGGTTGCTGAAGTCCTCAGAGGGCAAAGGGCTCCAGAAGTGTGAGGGGTCCTGAGCCTGGTACCCTGGGGATGGAGGGAACCCACTCAGGCACCTCCTCACCCTTGGATCAAGGTCCTGGAGGAGGCCAGGGAGGATGCAGGTGGGTGAGGAAGCCCAGTACTTACTGTGGTCAGCCAGAGGGCCCAGGAGCAAGGCAGCCGGTGCCAATGAGCCCTGCCGGGCCAGCCTGGGGGGCTGCTCCCTGTCCTCATCCTCGGTGGCTAATCCGGAGCCAGCCTGAGCACCAGGAGAGAAGGTAGTGAGGTGGGAGAGGAGCTCCCAGACTGTCTGCCCTGGGGCAGAGGGAGGTCTGGCTGAAGGCCACCTGGGGTTTACAGGAATTGGAGGTTTCAGGGCTTAAGACCTTTCCCCCATAGAGGTAAAAAGAGAGTTGATGGGGTTGTTGGAGGTGATGGGGTCAGAGATGAAGCTCACTATGATAGGAGGAAAAGTGCTAGGAGTGAATGGGGGAACTGAAGTGATAGAGATAGTGGGACAGTGATGGAGTGGATGCTGATAGGAGCACTAGAGAAAGTGGAATGGATTAGACTGATGCGGGGGATGGGGACAGAGCAATGAACCACTGATGATGGGAGAGCTGATGGGGTGGAGATGGTAGGGGTGATACAGTGATGGAGATGGAGATGATGGGGTGAGAGAGCTACAGGTGATGACAGTGAAGGGAATTCAGTGGTAGAACTGGATCTCATGGGGTGACTGGGGTCAGAGGAATGGACCCACTGATGAATAGGGGTCAGGGAGGAAGCTTGGAGAAAATAGCGTTGATGCAGACAGTGATGGAGCTAAAGATGACGGAGGTGATGGGAACAGTGAGGGAGCTGAAGATGACGGAGGTGATGGGAACAGTGATGGAGCTGAAGATGACGGAGGTGATGGGAACAGTGAGGGAGCCACAGATGATGGAGGCGACGTGAATAGAATGATGCAGTGGAAAGTGATGGAAGAGGTGAAGTAGAGCTGATGGGAAGAGTGGGCATGGAGGGGGTGAGAGCATGTGTTAGAGACCATAGAGAGGGTGGTTTGGGTAAAAGGTGACAGCTGGCAAGGCTGTAGGGCTGCAGGGGACACACTGACCTGGTCTGTCCTGCAGGCGGACTCCATCACTTCTCTAAGGGGCTCCTGCTGGCTCTGGAGAACGCCCTTCTCTTCAAAGGAAGCATGAGCCCTGGAAACTAGATGGAGTAAGAGGTAGACTATTGTTTCCTGGGCCCCAAGGGGACCCCCCTCAACTGAGATGATCCCAGACAAGAGTACCCCAGCTCACTGCCTAATCTCAGGCAAGACCCACCTCTCTCTGGGCCTAAATTTCCTCCTTTTCAAATGGGGAGATTAACTGGTTGGTCTAAGGGTCCTTCTCTGTTTACCTGCCCATGAGTTTAAGCTCAATAAGCCCACCATTTCCCATTTTATGATGTGCAAAATGAGGTTCTTATTGCCCAGAGAGCCATTCTTGGCCACTACCTCCAGGGGCAAGATGTTACCTGGGCCATGGGCACTGTCCGAGACAATCTGGTAGACCCTGTAGGGGTTGGAGATGTCCAGCTGGCTGCGCTCACGCACCTCACGGAAGTCCACACTCTTGTTGAGAGCACAGCGAAGCCGTGTCTTCCAGGTAGAGGGGTCCTCCTTGTCAGTGCCCTCCAGGTGCTTGCCCTTGTGTATGGCCCAGGCCTGGGGATGAGCAAGGGTATTTGGGCAGGAGTATCCTGGGGTGGGGGGACTGGTGTTACAAAAAGGAATGAAGGTCTCCCTTGTCCCTTGCCTCCCACCCTTCTCTCTCTCCCTCTGATCCTTTGCCCCTTCACCTCTCCATCCTTTCCTTTCTTCTTTCCGCCCTCCCTCCATCTAGCCCATATTCCTTGAGCTCCTACTATGTGTCAGGTCCGAGTTAGGAACTGAATGGGAAACAAGACAGACATGGTCCCTGCTCTCAAAGAGCTCCAGTCTGATGGGAAAAGACAGCTGAAAACAGCTCAGTGGTAATAGCTATATTCCAGATTATGGATTGTGATACATAAAAAATAAATAGGATGACAGGATATAAAAGAATGTGGTGAGTTGCTACCTGGAGAACCACAAAATTAAATCTTACCCTTTTTCCACA